AGAGTGTCTCCCCTCCCCCTCTTAATCCTTTATTTAGTACAGGAGGAAAAGCATTCTTTGGGCTGCTGTTATTCTGATAGGTGAGATCATCCTTGAAGATTAAAAAACAAGACTCACTCCTGCTACGTGACACACTTAACTCGCCTCCTTTGATTGCAGCTTCAGATCCATGATACCTAGACACAGCGTCTTGGAGCGGCAGCAAAACAAAGCAGATGAGCCAGCAAGCCCCCTCCTAAAACCCTGGCACCAGGTGAAGCGCAGTTCTGGTGGAGGCTTGCCGTGATTAGCTCTACCATTTATTCAGCTCGAGTACAAGATCGAGCAGAGAAGGTACACTTCTGTGAGATGCTTTTTATCCAGCTGCTTTTAAGCTGCGGGAAGTGTCTTTCTGGAAGGACGGAGCAGTTGCAGTTGCAGCAGCTTGGAGGCTGCCTGTGGTCAGCGCGGTGACTGCAACTGAGCTCTCAGCTAGCTGGCTGGTCGGGGCAGGATCTGGCCAGAGCCCCTGTTTCCATGCAGCTCCGTAGCCCAGGGGATGATTGCCGTGGCTCTTTGCCCTTTCCCTTCCTCCTTACCCCCTTTTCCTTCACTTCCCCCCAGCTGAATTCAGCAGTCAGGGAAAAGGGGTTCAGATCAACCCCTGGGCTCCAGAGCGGTGTGAAAGCAGGGGCTCTGGCCAGACCCCACCCTGACCAGCTGGCGACCTCCGAGCCTGGCAGGAGCTGCACGGACATGCCAGCGAGCTCAGCTTCCCGGCATCCAGGATCACGGGAGGGGCTGCGGTTACTCTACCCCCCCACCCCCGGCTGTATGGCGCGTACGCAGTGAACTCTCTCTGCTGCCCACACACCCTACCCTCACCGCCACCCTGGATCCGCCCATGGGGAGATCCTGAAACGTGTATCGGCCCCACGCTTCCCCCATCGCTGAACTTCTCGTTGGTGTGCAGCCTTGCGGCTAGAAAGGGCCTGCGGAGTCCACGCACTTGTATATGAAATCTAAGCAGCTTTGGCCAAGATAAAGTCCTGACCGTTAGCTGCCAGCAGAGTCCTTTGGCACTTCTCATCGAAGGAGGTGCTAGCTTCGACTCTGCTCGGGGACCACCTGTGACTAAATCACCTGTATGTTTTAATCAGGCATAGCCTCCTTGTTTCGCACCGTCGCAGGCTCCACTTCGGGCTGCTGTGCATGCCTGCTGTTTCATTTTGGGTGGACGAGGCTGCGTGTCCAGGGTGAAGCGAGTCTGTGTGGTTTTGTAAAACCCACTAGGATTTTTTTTTTGGAAAGAAAGTACAGTAGAAACTCAGGGTTGGGATCGGTGTGCCTGGACTGTCAGCCTGCACTTGGGGAAGCTGTGCTTCCTTATCAAGAGGGGTCTTAGACCAGCAGTTCAACCAACAGTTTTAATGTTACAAGAGGTGCCGTGTGGGATGCGTGCGGCTGCCCCGTGTCTGTCCTTGTGGTTCCCAAAATCACCTGTTCTCTGGACTAAGCCTATTGTGCATCCCTCAGCCTTCCTGCTTTGTTTTAACCAAATGTAATGGCTTACCTCTCCCGAAGCTCAGCTAGAATGCCCTCTCCTCCTGCCCTCCGGAAATAAAGCCCACAATCTAATTTGTCCTTTTGTGGCTTCGTCATTAAAATCAACGAGACGGGAAGGACCTCTCCGTGGACTCAGCAGAAAATGCCGATGAACAGTATTTCTCCATCCACAAAACATTTAAGTAGTGAGTAAACCAAAAGAGAGCAGCAGACCGGTTTCCACGTGGCTTTTGCTGTCAGGGTTAGCCTGGTATCTTGTGGCAGGCCCTTTTAGACTCAAGGTGCCCCTTGGAAAATGCCAAATTCTTAGCTTTCGCTCATTTTTTTTTAACTAGGAAAATAATAAAGCATTCCCATTCGAAACCTCTGGGCTTATCTCGTGAATCACGTGTCGGCGTTTGCACACGAAGCCATGCTAATATTGGGGAGGGGGTAACCCGCAGCGCCCTTTAAAGGGTCTCCTGGCATCCCAGAGTGCCACAGTCCCCTGGCTGAGCATCGCTGGGGTGAGATGATGGGGTGAAAGGAGTGGTTTCAAAGCCTTCCTGTTAGCTGACTTCAGAGCTCTCTGCCATATCGTACAGTGGTCTTGGTTTGAGTTTTGGGGGTAGGGGGAAAGGTGGGGTCATTCAAACCTTCGCAGCACAAACCCGAGAGCTGCCAGTTCACATTATGTCAATATATGTAACAAAATATTTACTCAGGGCTTCCACTCTGAGTCCCAAAGCAGGGGGTTCCAGCTGCCTCTCGTTTTCAGGACCTCTGATGGGAATCCTGAGCGAAATGTAACTCTCCTCACCGTGTTTTTATTGGCGGCCGCTGTGTTTTATTATCTCATGTAACGAGATCGTTCTCGGTTTGCCGATTTTTCTACCGAGGACAGAGAGTTCACGCATGTAACAGGGCACATGTTGAATTAAGGTCCGATTAAAGTCATGATGTAATGACCCCCTCTCCTTTTCCTTTAGTCAATATTTGCCTGTGGGGTCAATACATTACAATATGCTCTTCAAAAGAAGTCAGTATTTTGTTACCTTCCGAGAGCGTTGGCTCCAAACACTTGTAATATTAAAACTGTTGGTTGAACTGTTGGTCTAAGACTTACTGTCTAAGTAGTTTCAGGTTTGGACCCTTGATCCACGTAGAGCAGCTTTCAAGGCAGCTGATAGTATCACAACACAGCTGTAGGCAGCTCTCGGGGTGAAGCATTTGATCTCTAATCTGCAGCACTTTCTCCCAGGCTTAGTAGGCTCTCATTGCAGCCCGGGATGTTTGTTCTCTGCAGGCCGTGTCAGCGGAGGGCAGGTTAGGTGGGCAGCTCTGCACCGTGGTTCCCCTTCACGGCCTTTTCAGCCACCTTCCTGTATGAACCGACACGAGCAGAGTAGAAATAATTTAATACTCCACGTATTGGAAAGTGCTGCACAAACATTACTTAATTCACCCCTCAGGTTTCACGGTAATCGGTTTGAACCTTAGCTCACAACCCATCTGCTGCTCGTTTACTGCTTGAACTTCCAGCGCGGGGAGTTTAAAGACGGGTGGTGTCCTAATAACACTCTCAAACCCCCGTCACGCCTTCTCTTCCCAGGTAGCTCCCAGTGCATTGGACGCTAGCGCTGTCGGAAGGGGGCACAGTCAGATCTTCAAGTTCAAGTGTTTAATTATTGTGCGTGTTATCGAATTTCCCTTACAAACGACAGAAATTTGAGGAAAATGATCATAGCGTGGCCTGGTGCTTTATTTATACACCTGCTTGCAAAGCTGCCCAGTGCTAAACAAGAGTTCCTTTCGGGCTTGCTTGCATTAACAAGGCATTGTGTTAATGTATTAACAATTAAATGATGATTATCTGCAAGGTAAAAAAATCAAGTCCCCAGTGTGAGCCCTGTTATCAAAAAAGGATGCTTCAGGGGTACAGCCTGTTGTAAAGAGCACTTTGGTGTCTGACCTCAGTGACAAGGGCTTGGGTCACTGTAAAAGTGCCTCGCTTGAAAGGCAGAGGGTATACAGCTCTGTACAGACAAAGCCACGCTAACTCTGGTCCTGGAAACTTCATAGCTGTGTTAATGTGGTGCTGTGCTCAGCCTGACATACCCTGCTTCTCAGGCCGATACACCTAGAGCAAAGTAGGTTGCTAACAGGGCTAGGTCAAAGGTGTCTTAATGCACTGTGCTATGTAGACATACTGAGAGTCACCGTCTCTTTACTAAACCCTTATTTACTAACTTGATGGGAACCAAATAATTAAAGAAATGCCATATTCATTCGCATACCAGAAACCTCCTTTTCCTAAAGATCAGCCCCCAAATTTGAGGTGCACGTATGAACTGGGGAAGTTGATTTTTCTGCCTGGAAGAGAAATACTCTGTTTTGATTCCTGCTCCAGCTGGCAGCAGCTGGGGCATTTCTATTCAGGCAGCTGACAGAGTCAGTTGACTTAATGTATCCTTGTTCTTCACAGATGTTAATAATAGTCTCTCCTTTTTAACAGCCTAGATCTAACCTTTCTCTGGGGAATTGTCTGCTAGCTGCTTCTGGCTTCTCTTCTATTTTATAGTCCTAGAGACTCTTACTAGCTCTTTTCAAAATCATAGATCCACCCATGGATACCAGTCTTCAGCAGCAGCTAGTGTTTCAGCTTTTGGTAAAGCAAGAAAAGGAGGGTGAGTCAGCTAAAGATTGGGTTCTGTCTACAGCCCAAACTCAGGAAGAATCTTTATTTTTTTTATTTTTTTTTCCTTCCCCAAAACAAGGTGTGTGGGGCATAGGAGGCAAGTACGGTAGGTTTTAGCCACCACAGCATGGAAGTAGGCAAAGATCTAACATCGCTCCTTGACTGTAGGCAGGCCGCACTTGCATGTTTGGTGGGGGTGACCAGAGTTTGCAGTGTTTCCATTAGCCCCAGGGCTAGAACGACGGGCTGGCTGCCAGCATTGAGCAATGAGATGGGAGCGGGAAAGATGAGAATTCAGCATGACAATTACTAAACACAATCAACAGTCAAAAAAATCAGTACCTGGAAATGCAAAGATCTTTCTGAAGGGAAAAATACTGGTGTAACTTTTGTGCTGTTGGTTTCTCACGCTGCTCCTTGCCGTCTCATTACCACCGGCTCTGCACTACCTCCCAGGCCTCGTACATCATGGATAATTGCACTGCCAAAATGGCCTGGCAGAAAGTGGAGCAACTGTAATATCTTAGACATTTGTTTTTGTAAGGTGACTTTTGGTTGCAATTATTCCTTTTCTTCCATCCCCAACAATCTTCTGTCTTCCTTGTGCAATTTCAGGGAACTTTGAAGTGGGCGTGCATATCGCAGATGTGAGCTACTTTGTTCTGGAAGACACAGCGCTGGACAAATTGGCCAGTGAAAGGGCAACTAGTGTCTATCTAGTGCAGAAGGTAAGAACAGCCTCTTCCTCCCTCTGAGAGCTATGTCTCAGACTGCAAACTCATTATAAATGATCATTATCAGAAGCTGTGAAACAAAATCAAACCATTAGCATATCAGCCCTGCCAGGAAAAAACAGTTATAACAAACGGATGACAGAGTTGTTGGGAACCTCCATAGAAAACATTTCATCCTGCAGCGGTACGTGACTGAAATTCAGCAGACATCAAAGTAACTTTAGAAAGAGCTGCAGCATTTTTCAAGTAAACAAAAAGTTGCATGAATATTGATTACAGATTGCTGGCTGGAGTGAGCGAAGGGATTGTCCTCATTCCTGATTTTCCTAGTTAAAGGTACAAAAGCTTTGCCAGGCTTAATCAGGTATTACAGGCACGTCGTTGTCTTAAGGGAAGCCAAGCAAATCTTCCTTCTGCCAACCCATGGTGTAAACTGTAAGCCTCAGTAACAGGAAACAGAATGTTAAGAAACCGCATAAGATTCATACAACAAATGGTCTCGTCTTTCCCTGTTTTCCTATCACGATCAACAGGGATCCTGGTTTTCCCTGATAAAAAAAATCGCAAATTCTCTGATAAAAAAACTGCAAATTCTCTGATTAAAAACCCCCAAATCCATGATTAAAATGAAAGGCCACTAATATATAATCAGCAGAACACAACGTTTACTTGATATATTTACAATTTGAAAGCAGTGTGGAAGCCTACCAGTGCCTCAATCACTATAATAAAATAAATTCTAAATACCTGTACATTTTGGTACTTGATTTTGGGTTTTATCTTGGAAAATCAGAGCTCCCCCTGTCCCCTTAGCTCACAGAACACAGGTCCAGGCTCCTAACTCCCAAGCCACAGCCCCCCTGGTCCTGCTGGTTCCCCTCACTCACCCCCCACAGCCCTGATGGTGCCCTGCAGCCCTGTCGGAGAGAGCCCCCAGCTGCCAGGGCTATGGGGCCAGGGACCTGAGTCCACAATCGCCTGCCCCCACCCCAAAGGAGGTGGCAGCTGTTGCAGTGGAGTGGAGAGACCAGCCACCCTTCCTCCCCCCTGCTGCCAGGTGGGGAGCGGGGGTTGGGGCTGGCTCCCTGCCACTATGCACACTCCCAGGATGGGATGGGGGCAGGCATGGGCTGCCTGCCCAGCTGCCCTCCCGCGGGGCCTCCACAGTCCAAGCAGGGCTGCGCGGGGAAGCTCATTGCCGATACAAGCTCCATGCTGCCCTGGCAAGGCATCCCCTGCCTGCCCGGCAGCAGCGAGGGGCACAACCCCACGCCTCCACCCCTGCTGCTGTCGTGCGGGCAGGGGACGTGTTGCCACGGCAGTGTGGAGCTCACAGCAACAACGAGCTTCCCTGCGTGGCCCCGCTCTGCCCTGCTGCACCGGCTCCCACCCCCCGGCTGTGGAGGCCCCAGGTGTGGGCAGCAGGGTGGGGAGCCCGAGCCCACAGTGGGCAGCCCGCACCTGCTGCTGCCCTGCACACAGATCTATGGCCCTGTCCCATTCCCCGCCAGGGCCCCGCAGCCATCCATTGCAGCCCCAAGCCCCACGCACCACCTGGCTGGACAGCAGTCCCAACCCCAGCCCTCTCTCCCTATGGGGGCCTCAGTCCACTCCCACCCCCCTGGCTTAACCTGCAGGAGCTACGCTCCAGGCTGCCTGGTGGCCATGTGCATATACATGCACCCGGTGCCTCCTGCCTGGGCACCCTCCTCCCGCTCCCCCCAGCCCCTTGCAGCTGGAACTGTGCTGGCCTGCGCAGGGCTCTTTGCAAAACTGCAAAATCCCCGGATTTCTCTGGTAAAAGGAAATCCATGTTTTCCTTGGGTAACACGGGAAATCTGTTTTTCTCCATTTCCCCATGGGAAATGGAAAACCCAGATCGCTGCCGATCAGTCAAATGGCTTCTTATCTCTAGATGCCGTGCCTTCCTTTGTTGTTCTGTGTGCTGAGTCCTTCAGTTGCACGCCTGTCAGATAAGTGCATGATTTACTTAACTGCATAAAAAACACCTGTCCCAGATTTTTTACCTGCTGCTGTCATTGTAACCCACAGTGGTTATCTGCATATTGATTAAGGGCATAGATCACTTACGTGCATAGGAATTGGTTGGTCCCTTTGTCTGCTAAGTACCCAACTGACTTAGGAGCCTTTCAGGCCTAAACTGACTAGGTCCTATCTATATTCAAGGCTACTTTTGCAAGCGTAAGGCCCTTGGAAACAAGGAAACGAGCCTTGAGGAGGTACAAAAAGCTTAGGGCAGGCTGTTCCTACAGTGAATGAGCATTTTTGACGTTGCATTTGGGTAAACGCATGCTCTGGGGAAATGCGTAACCCTTTTATGGTTCCAAAGCTATGCATTTCAGCAGAGCACACTGCATGCAGAAGGGGCATCTCTAGTAAATGGTCATCTTCTAAGTGTTCAGGCTCTGGGATGATGTTTCTTCCTTCTACCACCCCATTTAATTCAAGATTTGCTTAGAGAGGAGATACGCTGACCAGTACCTATCTTGGCGCCAAGTCAAGTAACCCTCCCACTCTGCTTTCTTCGCTATACACAGCACTAGCTAAACGTTTTGTCTTTCACTGGTTTGATCTCCTTTCCTAGCTGACGAGTTACAGCATATTGTATGTAACATTAACTGTAGCAGGATTCGTGATGGGGATGAATTGGGGCTGACCTGGAGATGCCTGAAACACTTCTGCGTGCGGAGCCCCTTGGAATGGCAGCTGGCACAGCGCATCGTGGGTCCCTCTGTACTAACACCCCCCAAAAAGTGAGATGTTAGATTGTGTTGTCATTGGAAGATGCGCAGCTCGTTGGCACTGCAATGCGCAGCTGACAAGGCAGCATGTTCAAAGAATTCGGCTTACTGATGAGTTGCTCTGTTTTTAAGAAGGCTGAAAACTAAGATTCTTCCCTTTGGAAATGCTGCAGCATCTCAGGTGTCTCAGGCTGTCCTCTTCCTCGGTAGGTGCTGTTCCATTAGCAGAGTGCATCTTCTGCAAGGAAGCAGGGTATCCACTGTCATGTCACACCATCTCCTCTCTCCAGGAAGGGCGTCGAGAGCCTCGGGCATTGTAAGAGTTAGAGCCTAGTTTGGGTAGAGTAGAGACACAGGGCAACCACGGCAGCATTTCCTAATGCAAATAGCTCTTTTTCCAAGCTCTGATTTTTATGGAGAGAATCAAATTGATATTCCGTGGAAAGTGACACTTTCCATGAAAAATTCAATAGAACAAAAAAACAAATTTCCCCCTGAAATCTTCCTGTCAGCTATTTTTTGACCAACCCTGGGTTCCAGCCTACATGTTGAACTAGGACATCAACTCGGGCATTGCCTGTCATGCCGTACATCCATATTTAACCTCCAGCTGCCTTGCTTCATTATCACTAGGCCTAGTCTTCAATCTGCTCTTGTCTCAAAAAGTAGATTTCAAGGGAGCAAATTGAATGAGGGGTTGGAAATACAGAAGGTGTTTCTAGTTGACACTAAAATATATTTAAAAAAGATCAGTCCTTGGATCTTAAGTTTTCTGTGGGTTTTAATGGAGGGTCTGCTTGTCACTTGAAACCAAATGACTGAAAATGAGCAAGGGGATTGTCCGAACAAGGAAATAAGAGCAGCGTCGAGACAAGATGGCAGTGCAACTCTTGCAGAAAATAGACTTTCCTCTGGTGGAATTGGTCCATATAGACTGCTGTGATTGTGCTGTGACTTGGTGTTGCACAAATCCTCATAAAGAAGAAATTAAAGAAAGCCACATCTTGAATTCTCTTGACCCATCTCTCCAGAAGAGGAGTTACTGTGTAAGGGCGAATGGTTTGTTTAACATGAGTCAGTTTTAGAAATAAGAGTGTATCAAGTTTTAAGAAGCAGGAAAACCTAAACAGGTTTCTCCCTCTTGGCATGTCTTAGAGTGTTGTTTTAGGTGTGAAGCAGCTCAAGCAAAAGGTCAGCCATAAATCCCTATAATATTTTATCGGCCCTGTTTTATAATGCAGATCAAAGGTTGGAACTGGAAGCCTAGCCTTATGTGGAGTCCAAGGCCGTTGAGACGTTCCCTTTTGACAACAGCAGGTTGTCGGGGGGGTTGATATTTTGATAACGTCAAGCTGGTTAACAAAGAGTTGATCGAAATCTGAATTCATGGAAGTGTTGATACAAAAAAGAAAACTCTCAAGCAGAAATCTTGGCTCATAAACAAATTGCCTATTTCCTTTGAGTGTCTTTCAGCGTCTGAGTGATAGGCTAACCGAGCCCACCGCATTGTTCAGCTTCAGCGCCCTCCGCCCTGCAGCAGGGGCAAAGCAGCTGCTAGACTTGATCGGGCCGATAATATAGTACGTCCCCAGCAGATAGATCAGCCGTGGCGAGGAGGAGAACCACTCGGAGAAGCAGGCAGACTCGTCATAACCAACCTGAACCGATCGGGACCCAGCAGCCAAGACAGGGAGCCAGTGGAATTGGATTGTTTGATGAGAACAAAATAACCATGTGACTGTGCACACGCCAAGGGTTATTCTGAACCGGCTTTTGTTCCTTTTTCCTTTTGCCTCGTTGATGGATTGATTTCCCCCTCTGTTGCCTGCAAAGCCTCTGTGGCAATTCTCATTGATTACAGAGCTGCCCTGGCTAACCTGCTCTGAACGTGGCCAGCCTGGCACTCGGGGCCACAGCAGATGTTTCTCATTTGAAAGCGAACGCGGAGGTTTGCAGCCCACTCCACGCACCCCCTCCAGCTCTCCCCACTCCCAGGAGTGAGGAGTGGGCCTGGACATGCACATCAGTTTCTATTTAATAAGCCCATGAGGCAAAACAAAGCAAGACCCAGGCTCTCCAAAGCAGGCGGTCACATAGACCTGTGATGCTACATGAATCTGCCATCCAGACGGTCCAGATCCAGCATGTCAGGACGTGTTAACAGACCAGTATGTTTTATAGTCCCAGGAAGGCAACAAGCAGGAAAACGTCCATCCTTAGCACCTCATTTCTTACTGCGGTCTCTGCGCTTCCTCCTGCCACGTGGGCAGGTCACGCTGAGCTTATCAGACCAGTGAGTGACAACACAGAAGGGAGTGACTTTTTAATGGGTGGTTGGCTGGACCTGATCCAGCCACTTCCTTTGAGGCTGGGAGGGAAGATGATTTATCTGAAAACTTAACTTGCATCACTTTGTCACAAGGAAGGGTAAATCCTCTGCCTTTTGCTTGATGTGGGGAGAGAAGAGGTCATTCTACTGATCAGATTATAATTCTGAGAAATGGAAAGGACCTTCCCGTTGCTCTGCTCAGCACCTCTGTCCTGGGCTCTGCTCTCCATGCAGTTTAAAGCCTGGACTGGGGCTGTGTCCTCCCCTCTCCCTGTGTTTGGAAAATGTTCTTTCCTTGGGACCGCTGGATCCCTGTGGCTCTCTTCCAGGGCAGTGCAATTTGAAAGCCCTTTGTTTCCTCTATAATTCGCTTGGGCAAGAGCAGGTCACTTAATTGCAAGTTCCAGTGAAAGTGGAGCTCCGTGAGGTAGCCCCTGGCCTGAGGTTACTTGCCAGCCAAAGCACTTCAGCATTTAAGGGGAAAGGCTTTACCTGCACTGGATTATTCTGCAGTCCATAGCAATGCACGGGCTGGCTGGCACCCATTGTTGCTTGGCAAATACCCACCTTCCATGTCGGAGAAAGGCACGTGAAAAAGAGGAAGCAAGTCTTACTCAAGATACTGTCCTGTATCGTTGAAACCTTGCTGATCTCTCACTCATGTTAAATATGGACACGGTAGACTATTCCTCTAGCACACCCCTCTTCCCCACAGGTCCTGTTGTCAAAGAGAACCCCTAATCAGTCCTCTCAAAATCTGACAGAGCAGTCGGTGGCTGCTTCGTGCATCAAATCTGCGCTCCCCACTCTCACTACGTGCCCGTGTTAATGGCCAGACTGTGAGAAGATGAAGTGTGCAGTTGTCCCTGCAAAGTTTGCCTTTCATCACCGTGGGTTTATTCTCAATGGAAATGGCATCGGGGGGAATCCAGGCATTACGACAGAGGGCTGGGGCTGGAGAGGTGTGTTCTGGACACGGGCCTGAGGTTGTGATTCAGCAGAGCCCTTCGGCATGCATGCGATTTGAAGCATGAGAGCACTCCCAACGGACTCGAATACCTTAGCCTCCTTGACTAAAGTTGCATGCAGACTGAAGTACCGCTTGAAACAAAGCCAAAAAGAAAGGACTGTGAATTCTCACTCCCCATGTAGACTCAACCTTTGGCTTTTGTCAAGTCAGTTTGCCTCCGCCTTTGTTTCTCAGTGTCATGCGAGTTGTACTGTCCTACTTGGCAGTAGTTCTGTTACAATGAATAGCTTTATCTGTGATAAATTAATAACTTTATCACTAAGTGTTTAGTATTGTGATTATACCCTGAGTTGCAGTTCTGGGTTTCAGGTCATCAGAATCCCACTACTGGAACCGGAGCCTCTCAGATCTGTTCGTGATCATGTCCAGGAGCACTCGAGCATCTCACCCTCTCTTCCAAGCTATGGTGTTGGCTTAAGGGCACCATAAGTTTCATGCAGTGTCCTGGGTCCTGCATTCCCTGGCAGGATCCCCGTATAGACAGGCTCTGTTCTTGCAGAAGGAGTGGGGTAGAGGACTATTTGTGCCTTTGTTCATTCTTTGAAGAAATAAAAGAAAAGTGGAGCTCACTGGTGGAAAATGTTAAATACTAGTCTAATGAAGAAGAAACAGTCTGGTTCCTCTAACAACTTGCAACCTGTCCTATACTTTCTACGCAGATTTATGTTTTTTGCAGAAAGAAAAAAGGCCAACCCCCCATAAAGATCAAATAATTTGATATTCTCCCGCTATATAGCATCCGCTTCTGCCGCTGTCAGAGACAGGATACTTGGCTAGATGGACCGTTGGTCTGACCCACTATGGCACCACTTGTATTCTTATCTTCAAAACATTTGTGTGTTGTTTAACTTCTTGCTGCTTTTTTAACTATCTTTTTGCATTGCCATATGCTGCGTTCTGTTTTAATTTTGTTTAAACTGGTAGAATGTGTAATCTTATGGTATGCTTTTACTAGAAACCATAAATGAATTCATTTTATGATTACAGTATATGTAATTTTGACTGTTAATTTTATTGTAAAGTTTTAGCAAAAGCTGTAAGTAAGCTACTACAGCTATTCCTCTAAAAGAGGGATGTTGCTTCAGTAGGGACCCAGGGAGACAAAAAGCTGCCATGCCCAGAAGTAATCACTGCAGAGATCAGTGATATGAGCTAAACAGTCTGTTCAGGGACCAGTGCTATCAGCTGTGTCCCCAGAAAAGGTGGACAAAGAATGTGTCTGTCAAGATTTTGGACGTTGTCTCCCTATTCTCTTAATGCAAATAACGCATTAGTGGAGAAGAGGCACCTGCCTCTTATCCCTGATTTTGGAAGTACATCTGCATTTAGGATTTTATTAAATGTCCGGTGTGACCCACACATGTTAGTAGCCAGTGTGCCTCCTCACCGTCGCGTGGGATATTCGGAAAGCGGGAATTTCCCACACTCCATAAGTGTCTCCTGTTGGCTGCTAATTTCTCTCCTTTTTGGCATGCATTGGCATAACTCATTCTAAATTTATCACCTCGTGTCACCGGCCTTTCCCAGCAGCATGGCAGACCTCACGTAGTAGACCTGTAAATTATGAACTTATTACTATTGTTAACATGCTTTTCACAACTGGAATAACACAGCTGGCAGCCTTTGTGTTGCGGGAAACCGCTTATCACAATCTCTGCCCTGGTGACCTTCCACTTGAACCAGCATTGCTGATTCACGTTGGAAGTGCCTGCTTCACTGTCAGAGACCATACAGTTAACCTCTCGGCATGAACGCACCGTGCCGTTAGAGTGGATTTATGAGTGAGGGCTGGTGCCAAGCTGCAGATGCGATTACATATTTGAAGAGCCTTCCCATGAAAGCCAAAGGTAAATAGGACAAGTGTGTGCTCACAGCAGAGGGGACTGGAGGGGCTGTGTTTTCTTGGTGCACTTGCAAACCAGGCTGCTCACGAGCGTACCAGGGACTTGACCCCAATAATCAGCAAGTGTTTGCAGGCATGAGTAGTGCCCGTGCGCAGTGAGTGTGGCCACACTCACTGCCTGTGGCTTTTGGGTAGTGTGCCACTCTGTCCCCTGGTAGAAAGACCCAAGCGGTCACAAATAAAACCTTAGCTTACATGTTCTTCAGAGCAGAGAGTTTGTCTTCACACTTTCCTGGAAAGCATCAGATACTTCACTGACTCGAAGCAAACAGTAAGACCGAGCTAGTTCTTTCCTAAGCGTATTTGCTGTTCTTCAGGAAGGTCAGTAACAAGAAGGGAAATAAAAAAACGAAAGGCCAGAGACACAGGTTTGACTTGCTGCCTGGATGCTTGGTATTGCCTGTACCAAGCATTCACCTGAGAGCCCCAGCAAATGGCTTGTTTCGTTCTGGTATACGCAGCTGCTTTGTCAGCTTTGATTATTTTTATCAGACTCGTGTCTTCTCCTATCCTTTAGCCTGTTGCACATAGGATAACCATACAGAAAGTGATTTTGCTTGGTTGGTTAGCTAGTATTTGCACTCTTCCCCTGCCTTTTGGCAGCTCTGTGAACTGGTTGTGGAAACCTTGCATCACCTCTGAGATGAGGAAATGTTTCTCCAATTTTGCAGAAGCTAAATTGAAGGGTAGAAGGTAAAATACTTCTTTCATGTCTCATGGCCTTAGGGCCAGGGAAGGAGCAAAATTCAGGAATCCCAATTTGCAGGTTTGGAAAACTCCTGCCTTTCTCAGCTTCAGCATGAGAACTGGCCAGAGGTCACGGCCCTTCCCCCAGGGACATGCCGTCCCCAGCTTACCCCAGCCCCCCGGTGTCTTAGCAGTGGCAGAAGGATGACGGGTTTTCTGTTGCAGTGACTTTACGCAGCCCTTT